TTTTTTTTTTTTTTTTGGTACTGAGGTTTGAACTCAGGGCCACCAGTCCTTTTTTGTGACAGGTTTTTTCGAGATAGGGTCTTGGCCCAGGCTGGCTTCAAACCATGATCCTCCTGATCTCTGCTTGCTGAGTAGTTAGGATTACAAGCATGGCACCTGGCTTGTTAGCTTGTGAGCTTGTTTTTGAGGTGGGACAGATTGGGGACATGGGAGGTGAGAAGCAGAAACTAGGAATTAAGAAACAAACATTGTATTAATGTATGGCCCGGTTAGAAGTATGCAATGCCATTTTCTTTCTTTAAGCTTCTCACTTCTTCATCAAACAGTAAAACGGTGATCTCCCCATCTCCATCCTCATGGTTACTACACCGCAGGGAACAAGCATGGATATTTCAAGAAAACCTCCTCACTTACTCCACTCCCTTCATTTGAAGGGTGATTATTAAAAGTCACAGAAAAGCACACGTCTGTGTCACAAGGATCTGGAACTATTGATCTCAGAACCGTCTCTAGCTGGTAACATCGGAGCTCTATGACAGCACTTGTGATTGAGGGGTAGTGTCCTAAGGAGTGTCCCCAGGACCCACCCACCTCACTGTTCCCAGCATTTATACTCCTGCTAAGCCAGCCTGCTCGAGTCCATCCTGTATGCCATGCCTCGCCTATGAGACACACCTGTCCCTTTTGCTTTACTTGCTGAATAAATCTGTCTGTTGCCTCACATCCCTGCCTGAAATTCCTATTCTGTGTTCAGAGATGAGAACCTTTGTTTTTTGGCGGTACTCAGGGCCTCCTGCTTGTTAGGTAGGCACTCTACCATTTGAGCCACTATGGCAGCCCTGTTTTTTGTGCTAGGTATTTTTGAAATAGGGTCTCCAGAACTATTTGCCTGGACTGACTTTGAACTGATCTCAACCTTTGAGTAGCTGGGATTATGGGTATGAGTGGCCAGCACCCAGCTAAGACAGAAATCTAAAGGCTGAGTTGAGAACCTCCTTTTTCTTCTCTCAGAGGATCTTCTTGAGACCCTCACTGACCATGAATGACACTTTCCCTTTTCTACTTCTGCAGAGTGGGATGAATTTGTGTAGCTACCTGTAAGAGCGGCCTGGTGGGAGCTGGTCTCATTTCTAGGTCAGGCTTGGGGCACAAGGAGGAGAAGTTCCCCTGGGATGGCAGCAAGTGAGGAAGAGAAAGGTGGGGAAAAGTTAGAGATGCTCCAGAAGAAAAGCTCATGTGGGGGCCCCAGAGACAGGTGAGCTTTGGTGGGAGAATGGCTTGTATCTTAAAGAGCCAGGAGAGAAGTAGATTCAGGAAAACAGGGAGGGGAGAAGAAATGGATCCATCCATTTGGCAGAGAAGCAAGTTCGGAGTAAGTGGGGAAAAGAAGAAAACCAGGCACTAGTAGATCACACCTGTAATCCCAGCTACTTGGGAGGCTGAGATTGGGCAGATCAGAGTTCAAGGCCAGCACAAGCAAATAGTTTATGAGACCCTATCTCCAAAATAACCAGAGCAAAATGGAGTGGAGGTGTGGCTCAAGTGGAAGAGTGCCTGCTTTGCAAGTGCAAAGCCCTGAGTTCAAACCCCAGTCACACGAGACACAAAAAGAGAGATAGAGAGACAAAGACAGAGAGACAGAGAGATAGGGGTAGGCTGGGAATAACTTCAGAGGTGGTAAGGTTTGGGAAAACAAATTATTCTAGAGGCTGACATCCATGGGAAATGTGTGCCTGAGGGAAAACTGAAACAAACCCTTCAGCTTCACTTGCTTTCAGTTGTGTTTAAAGATCACTAATTTTGGAGGCCACGCAGCTGAGTGATGAATTCTTTGTCTCTCACCAGTTCTGCTTTAGGTGACACCTCTGGTGTGTAGGTCATGATGTAACAGTTGCTTAGGTTACTTTTCACAGACTCGAAGATCACTGCCATGAGTGAACTATGTCTGTAACATAGAAGACTTGTGTCTTTCCTCAATTTAAAAATTCATTAATCTACAAGGAATTCACAAGCTATGTGCTGCCACTTGAGCCACACCTACAGTCCTTGCTCTGGTTATTTTGGAGATGGGGGTCTCACTTTTTGCCCAGGATGGCCTGAACTCTGAGCCTCCTATTTTAAGCTTCCTGCCGTTGCTAGGATGACGGGCATAAACCACCACACTCAGCTTTTATCTGTTGAGATGAGGTCTTGGAAATTTTTTTGCCCAGGTTGGCCTGGAACCATGATCCTTCTGGTCTCAGTCTCCCAAGCAGCTGGGATTACAGGCATGAGCCACCTTCTTCAGCTGTTTTGTTTTGAGACAGGGACCCTCCATGTAGCCACGGTTGGCCTGGAACTCGCAATCCCCTTGTCTCATCCTCAGGAATGCACACCACACCTGGCTTCCATTCCAATATTAATTATTATGAATTTGTAATTAATATTGGTTACTAATATTAACTCTCAGATCATAGATTACATTTACAGAATGATAAACAGGCTACAGAAAGGCTAAGGAAGGATTAAAGTCAGACAGGATTCAGAGCCGATATGGATGCAAGGTGTCATTGCAGTGCTTAGATGAGATGTTAACTTAACAAAGAAACTGTGTCACAGAGGCGGCCAGGCCCAGAGCTGCCATGACTCAGACCTGGCTCCAGGGTAGTGCTACTGGACTAATGGCAGTTGGAGTGGACAAGCAGGAGGACTGTGTGGAGCTGAAGCGGAGCTGAAGCCCTGGGACTGAGTCAACCCGAAGCACACACAGCAAATGGCCTTCTCCATATGGCCCAGGTAAGGGCAGCAATCACTCATTGACTTGGTGTGTTTGATAAAATAAACTATGTGCCTAGTCTCTCTGATATGGTTTAATACACTAATATGCCCATGTTTGTTTGGTTCTTGATAGGATTGGGGTTTGAACTCAGGGCTTCATGCTTGCAAGGCAGGTGTTCTAGTGCTTGAGTCACACCTCCAGTCCATTTTGCTCTGGTTATTTTGGGGATGGGGGTCTCTTGACCTATTTGCCCAGCCATGAACTAAAGCCCTCCCCATCTCAATCTCCCCATTAGCTAGGATTATAGGCATAAGCCGCCAGCACCTAGCTCCATGTGTATTTGATTTAATTTGGTAAGTTCACAGGTGGTTATTTTTTATTTGCCTTTGAAGGCTCTTTTTTTTTTTGTGGTACTCGGGCTTGAATGCAGGGTCTTCACCTTGAGCCACTCCACCAGCATATTTTGTGTTAGATTTTTCAAGATAGGGTCTCACAAACTGTTTGCCCAGGCTGGTTTCCAACCTCTATCCTCCTGATCGCTGCCTCCTAACTAGCTAGAATTACAGGCGTGAGCCACTGGCGCCTAGCTTGAAGGGTCTACCTTGTCCCCTGACCTTTCTCTTTGTGTCTCTCTGCTTCCTGTCTGCCATGACGTGAGGCAGCTTTCCTTCACCTTGCTTCTACTACGATGGTCTGCCTTACCACACACCAACCCAAAATCAGTAGAGACAAGTGACCATGGAGTGAAACCTCTGAAACCACGAGCCAAAATAAATTCTTCCTTTCTTAAGTTGTTTTCTCAGGTGTTCTGTCACAGTGATGAAGAACTGACTTGAAGGTTAACATGGGTAATACAGGAAAGGTAACCAAAGTCAGGGTTGACATAGGGCTCAGGCCTGGAATGGAAAGGCTGCTGTGGGGACCTGAGTGGGATGGTGGAGGCCCAAACTCCTCAGTGAATTTGGGGCTGTGTGTGTAGGAGAATGATCTGGGCCAAGGGAAGTGAAGATAAAGGTGTTGGAACTGAGTATGGAAGAATTAGAAGAAGGATGAGAAGGTAAGATTTTGACTAGTCAGATGAGGAGGAAGGGCCTTTAAGAGGAGGAAAAAAACATGACAGAGGATAGAACAAATAATGTTTTAGGATTGTAATCTGGGAAAAGATAGATTTAATCTTTTTTTAAAGTTTTCTTTTGTTGGTGGTACTAGGGTTTGAACTCAGGGCCTTACACTTGCTAGGCAGGGGCTCTACTACTTGAGCAACTCCACCAGCCCTTCTTTGGGTTGGGCATTTTCAAGATATCTTGAAAGATAATAAATTGATAATTTTTATTGATAATAATAAAGATAATAACCAAAGAGCTCACAAACTATTTACCCAGGGTTGGCTTCAAACTGTGATCCTCCTGATCTCTGCTTCTTGAGTAGCTAGGATTACAGGTGTGAGCCACTAGTGCCTGGCCAGATTCAGTCTTGAAAATATGTTCTGAGGTTTTACAAGATGGTGGCTGTATTTATAGCTTTGAACAACAAGGGTATTAGAAATTGTATGACTTGATAGGAGGGGTTTTGTTTGTGGCTGTTCTGGGGTCAACCTCCAGGCCTCCCCCATGCTAGGCAAGCACTGTACCACTGAGTTACAACCCCAGCTCACTGGTCAGGGGTTAGGATTGGTTACCACATTGGCAAACAAAAGTTAAGATCCTTTCTAGGGTACGGGAATGGTACCCTCTGGGTAGCTTAGAGGGAAGGAGTCATTGTACAGACAGCAGGTGCCAACAATGTTTTAGGAAACCTAAGTTTGGCCCAGTCCAAAAGTCAGCTTGCACATGCAGTGGTGGGTGTGTGCACAGCCTAGTTCAAAGGTCAGCTGGAGATGTGTTTGAGGTCTGATCCACAGTCACCTCCTGACTCTGTTTTAAGAATTCAAAACCAAGCCTGGCACTGCTGGTTCATGATTGTAATCCCAGCTACTCAGGAGGCAGAGATCAGGAGGATTGAGGTTTGAAGTCAGCCTGGGCAAATAGTTCTTGAGACCCTACCTCAAAAACACCCATCACAAAAAATTTGGGCTGGTGGAGTGGCTCAAAATGTAGGCCCTGAGTTCAAACCCCAGTACTGCAAATAAATAAATAAATAAGAATTTGAAACCAAAGTTACTCCATTTTGACTTGTTTTTTCCTTGACAAGCATAAGCCAGGACACAGAGGCATCTGTAACATGTTATATTCAGGAATTAAAAGTTGGGAAGGGGCTGGAGAATGGCTCAAGTGGTAGAACACCTGCCTAGCAAGCATGAGGTCCTGAGTTCAAGTCCTAGTACTGCCCCCAAAAAAGTGTGGGAGGTGGGGACAGAGGATGCTGAAGCAGGCCAAGGAGTTTAGAACTGTGTGAAGGAGGTGGGGACCTGCTCACTGTCCTATTTATGCCCTGTTCTCAAACGTTGGGGCATCTCAGGGCTTTTCTTTGAAGCATTCCTCTGCCTGCATTCACTCCTTTGGTGACCTCAGCCTTTCTCACTGCTGCCAACTCCCAAACTCCTCCCCAGATTCGGATTCAGGCTGCACAGCTTGGGGAGGAGAGTGGTGGAGTGGCTTTACCCTCTAGGGTCTGGCTCAGAGCTTTTCAAGTTCAGAAGCTAAGTTTTACTAGTTCTGTTCCCCTTGCCCTTCAATAGACAGTAGAAAATCAATTGGTACTAACTACATATATAAAAGCTGACCAGTAAATGAAAAATCTATTGCTTTTTTTTTTTTTTTTGGCTGTCGTAGAGTTAGAACTCAGGGCTTCATGCTTGCAAGGCAGGTGCTGTACTGCTTGAGGCACATCTTCAGCCCTTTTTACTCTGGTTATTTTGGACATAGGGTTTGCTTTTTGCCCAGGCTGTCTGGACCATGATCCTCCTACTTTACATTGCCTGCATGACTGGCACGACAGGTGTGTACTACTACGCCCAGCTATTGGTTGAAATGGGGTCTAGCTAACTTTTTGCCCAGGCTGGCCTTGAGCCTTGATCCTCCTGATCTCTCTGCCTGCCAAGTAGCTAGGATTACAGAAGTGAGCCATAGCGCCTGGCTCAATTGATTAATTTAGAGGAACAGAAAGACCTTTAGTTGTTCCTCTTTTTAAATCATTTACTGGTTTGATTCTGATTTTAATGTATATTCATAATAGAATATTTGGAAAACACAGAAAATATGAAGAAATAACCTCTAATGGCAATGATGCCACTTAATATGTATCTATTTGTGTGACGGTTAATTTGGGGATCACATCTTTAAGTGCATGCAATGAAAGAGGGAAGTGCATGCAATTTGGGGTTGGGGCAAGGCTCCCTGCTGGACTGACACCATGAGGCCTGGAAGAAAATTCCCCTGGTGTCAGCAGGGCTGGGCGCAGTTGTCTCAGTCTCCGCTCCCTGCAGAAAATGGGTGGGGTGTAGGACTGGGACCTCAGGGTTCTGCTCGGGCCCAACCTGGAGAGCAGCAGTCCTGGGAAGCAGAGGGCAATTACTGCGAAGGCGGTGCCGGGCGAGGCTGGCAGGGACGCCTGGCATTCCCGCGGGAAGGCGACCCGGGGACCTCCGCCCTTAGGGCTGGGGGCGAGGTGAGGATCTTTCTCCTCCCCAAAGACCTGCCCTGGGCTACAGGACGGCCGTTCCGGGAGCGTCAGGCATCGCAGCGATCCTCCAACTCAGGCACTTGCCCTCAACCAAAATGGCGCGAGCGGCCTCCGACGAGTCACGTGATCAGCAGCCACGCCCCCACGACCACGCCCCCCGCGCTACTTGGAGCCGGACGGCTGGCGGCCGAGCAGTGGCGCGGGAGCCATGAGGTGGAGGCCGGCGGGGACCTGGGCCGTGCTGGGCCCGCTGTTCTGGGGCTGCGCGCTGGCGCTGCAGGGCGGGATGCTGTACCCCAGGGAGAGCCCGTCGCGGGAGCGCAAGGAGCTGGACGGCCTCTGGAGCTTCCGCGCCGACTTCTCCGACAGCCGGCACCAGGGCTTCGACCAGCAGTGGTACCGCCGGCCGCTGCGGGAGGTGCGGGGCCGAGCCGGGCCGGGAAGTTCGGGAGGTGGGGTAGCGAGCCTGCACCCCGCAACCCTGTTTCTTGTGCAGTGGGAGCTGGCCGACCCCTGAGGAGTCAAGTTAAAGATTAACCGTGCTGGGAGTGTGGCTCAGTGGTGAGCACTTGTCTTGCATGCAAGAGGCCTGGGGGTGCCCAGCTCTGCAAAAATAAAGAGATGAACCCTGGACCAGCGCCCTCATCTCCGGAGGGGGACGCCAAGCCCGTGTCCCCCATGCACACTGCACCGTGTGGATGTGGGGCGATCGTGGAACAGGGAGGAGCTTGGACATCTTGGGACCCCAGCGCTGCCAGACAGGAAGGGCCCTGTTCTGAGGTTTAGATAGAGGACAGGACTTGGCACCCAGCCCCTGGGGTTCCACTCTCGGGTATCCCCTCCTGGCTGGGTAGGGTTGGCACAGAAATCCGTTTTTGGACTTTGCTGCCCAGCCTTAAGCAAAGGAGGAAGTGAGGGGGGCTGGGTGCCTGCATTGCCCTGCTCAGTTTCATCAGCACAGAGGCTCCTGCCAGCCTTCCTCTTTGTGGCAGTTGGTCATCTGCCTCTTAGTCAGGATTTGGTCCTTCCTGCTATTGTGCTGGGTGGTGGTCCTGGGCTCACCCCTCTCCGTGGAGGTCTTCACCCTGGCCTGCCCAGAGGAAGTTCTTCGACCTCAATGGCCTCCTGGCACAAACCACTTTGGCCTGTGACCTGCCATCAGTAAGCTCTCCATCCGTTCAGCCAGCATTTCTAGTTTCCCTCCTGTGTGTTAGGGCTGGTACTAGGCACTGAGGGTACAGCCGTGAAGGACAGTGGCCCTCGATTCTTAGGGGATCTGGACCTACTCCAGTTGTTCTTTCCACAGTCGGGCCCCATCCTGGACATGCCAGTTCCCTCCAGCTTCAATGACATGGGCCAAGACAGGCAGCTGCGTGACTTTATCGGCTGGGTGTGGTATGAGCGGGAGGTGACCCTGCCCCAGCGGTGGACTCAAGATGTGAGCACCAGAGTGGTGCTAAGGATTGGCAGTGCCCACTACTATGCCATTGTGGTCAGTATGGGGAGCCACCGCCAGAGGGGAGGGTATGCATGCATGGGCTACCTGGCTCCCATCTGTCAGCTGACAGCTTCATTTCTGGGGTGGGACAGTGGGGGCACTCATGCCTGGTGGTAGGAAGTGTTGCCTAATTTGTTTCATTGGAGCTGCATCCTCCTGTCAGGCTAGTGTAGCAGGTGGCAGCTGGCAGGGCTTCCCCTCTTCACTCCTGGCCTGTTGCCCTGTCCTCCCATCATCTTGTATTTGCAGTGGGTGAATGGGGTCCATGTGACACAGCACGAGGGGGGCCACCTCCCCTTTGAGGCCGACATCAGCAAGCTGGTGCAGACTGGGCCCCTGACTTCCTGTCGTATCACCATCGCCATCAACAACACACTTACCCCCCACACCCTGCCGCCGGGGACCATCCGCTACCAGAAGGATACCTCCAAGTGAGTGGTAGCCCCACCCCCACCCCGCCTTAGTGGCCTTCCTGCTGGGGACAGGGTGGCCTTAGCTCAGCAGAGTAGAGGGCCTGGATCCAGGGAGGCCAGGGAGAAGCGCGTTGAGGTCAAAGGACCCCAGGCAAGGGTGGTTAACCATTGCTCCCCCCACCCCAGGTATCCCAAGGGTTACTTTGTCCAGGACGTAAACTTTGACTTCTTCAACTACGCTGGGCTGCATCGTCCTGTACTCCTTTACACCACACCCACCACATACATTGATGACATCACTGTCACCACTGAGGTGGAGCAAGACACTGGTGAGGGCTCTTGGCATGCTCTGTGCTTGGCCGAACCCAGGGTGGCTCTGTCGCTCTGTTTGGAAAGATTCCCCAGGAAAAGGATTTTCTCTCTTCTTTTTTTGGCTGAACTGAGGTTTGAATTAAGAGCCTCACAATTGCTAGGCAAGTGCTCTACTACTTGAGCCACAACCCTAGTCCTTTTTGCTTTAGTTACTTTTCATATAGGGTCTCATGTTTTTTGGAGGACTGGTATGGATTTCTGTCCTCCTACCTATATGCTTCTGATGTAACGGGCATGACAGGCACCTGGCTTATTGGTTGAGGTGGGGTTTTGCTTGTTTTTTGCTTTGGCTGGTCTGAAACGGCAGTCCTCCTGATCTCTGCCTCCTTAGTAGCTGGAATTACAGGTGTGAGCCACCATGCCTGACTTTCTTGGCATCTCATAACCTTCATGGCACCCTTAGAAACTAAAGTTCAGACCATCTGAGATGGCTTCGTGAAGAAATGAGGTCCAGTGAGAAGTGGGACCTCACCCAAGATAACATCTCAGGATGAGAACCATAGGTCTTTTCCCTATTGTCCCACCTCTCACTCAGCCCCCCCTCACTGTCCATAAGCAAGAAGCAAACTCATTTGTTGCAGTCTTGGGGCCTAGTGGACTTCTTAGAGTGCTCTCCCCCATGTCATGTGGGTGACATTCCTCCCTCAGCCCTGATCTCTCACTTCCTGCAGGGCTGGTGAATTACCTGATTTTTGTCCAGGGCAGTGAACACTTCCAGCTGGAAGTGCGTCTTCTGGATGAGGAAGGCAGAGTTGTGGTGCAAGGGACAGGGAACCGGGGCCAACTGGTGGTGCCCTCTGCCCACCTCTGGTGGCCGTACCTCATGCATGAGCACCCCGCCTACTTGTACTCATTGGAGGTAATTAATGGTGGCTTGTACCTGGAGCTAAGGGAGGCCTTTTGCCCTCGTGTCTGGTAACCCTGGCTTTGGCAGGAACGGGGACAGGATAGGCACAGTCCCCTGAGCTTTGTGACTTTCCCCAACCCTTGGGAGGTCTGGCTTTGAGGAGCAGGCCCTAGCATTCTTCCTTCCTCAGGGCTGAACCTTTCATTTCTGCTCTCTGCTTGTAGGCTCATAGGTCCTTCCTAACTGGGACAGGAGGATCTATTGAACCCAAGAGGTCAAGGCCAGCCTGGGCAACACAGCAAGACCTGGTTTCAGTAAAAGGGTGGCACAAGTGCAGCCCAGTCCTCAGGCTTTCACCTGGTGTGCTGGCTCTTTGTCGTAGGTGAAGATGACCACAGAGACGGCGCATGGTCCTCTGTCTGACTTCTACACGCTTCCTGTCGGGATTCGCACAGTGGCTGTCACCAAGAGCCAGTTCCTCATTAATGGGCAACCTTTCTATTTCCATGGGGTCAACAAGCATGAGGATTCGGATGTGAGTTGTGGCTCCTGTGTCCCTGTCCTGTGCTGTTTCTGGTCACTGTCATCTCCATTCCCTTCCCACTGTGCTCTTTGGCAGCTGAGGGTGACTCAGCACCCTCAAAACCACACCGAAATGGCTTCTGTGCCAGGGCCAGGTAGGGGTGACTTGGTGGGGCCTGGCTCTAGAAGGAAGTGTATCTTTACATTGACAGGGGTAGGGGTCACTCAACTTTGCTGTCCCCTAGATTCGGGGGAAGGGCTTTGATTGGTCCCTGCTGGTGAAAGACTTCAACCTGCTTCGTTGGCTGGGAGCCAATGCCTTCCGCACCAGCCACTACCCCTACGCTGAGGAGGTGATGCAGCAGTGTGACCGCCAGGGGATCGTGGTCATCGATGAGTGTCCTGGCGTGGGCATCGTGCTGCCGTGAGTCCCTGCCACCCACGCTGCCCAGCTGCCCAGCTGCCCAGCTTAGGGGGCCGTGATACTCACTGCCTCTCCTTCCCGTCCTGCAGGGAGAGCTTCGGGAATGAGTCTCTACAGCACCACCTGCAGGTGATGGAGGAAATGGTGCAGAGAGACAAGAATCACCCAGCCGTGGTGATGTGGTCAGTGGCTAATGAGCCCTCCTCCTACCTGACGCCTGCTGGCTTCTACTTTAAGTGAGTGTCTCCTGTGTTCCCTGGGTCCAGCCAGGGTGACACCTCAGCCCTTTGGCCTGGCTCTGCCTCAATTGCAGCGCTGACAACTGAGGTGGACCTTGCTCCCAAATTGTAGTTTTCAACCCAGTGTGAGGTTCTGTCTCCTATTATTCACTCCTGAAATGAAATCCAGAGTTACCTGTTGATACACAGAACTTCAAATTGAAAAAAAAAAAAAAGGTAGTGACATGAGCAGGGTATGGTGGTTCACATCTGTAATCCCAGCTAGTTGGGAGGCAGAGGCAGAAGGATCTCAAATTGAGGCCAACCTGGACAAAGGTAGCGAGACCCTATCTCAAACACAAAGCAAAACCCAAAAAGGCTGGGGGTGTGGCTCAAGTGGTGCAGTACTTGACTAGTAAGCAAAAGCACTGGTTTTAATCCCTCCCTCCCCACC